GCCTTTGCTGCTTTCCTGCTGACTTGCCGATAAACTGGGACGCCCGTCATTATGGTTTGAATCCTGCCTTCCTGCCCAGCTTTTTCTGCCTCTTGTTTGTGTTCACTTACAGTCGTAACATTTGTTCTCTTGAGGTTTTTCAGAGATTCTGCTTCTCTCTGGCTAATAGAACTCAGGCATCCTCCAGGGCTCAGATCAAGCCACATTGACGTAGAACCTGCTCCAAACAAGTGTGGACCCCAAGGCCCATAACTTGTGCTTCTAAAGTACCCAGTTCACTACCCTGGTACTTAGCAATGTGCAGGGTTATTGCTGGTTTCCTAATCACTAGACTGTGAACTTGAGTAGTCCTATCTTTTAGTCTGATTTCTATAAATGTTCATTGAATTAATGCACTCATTTTTTAATGAAGAGTTAACAAGTTATCCTGTCTAGTGCTAATCATGCAGGCAATTAAATAGTTGTCTTTCTCAGTGTTTTGATGGACACACTCTGTGGATTTTGTAACAGGAGTCTCTTTAGACATTGATTTTGAAGGGTGGGAAGCACCTTCCTAAGATAGTATTAAAAATCCAGAGGCCCTTTTCCTTCCAAAGATGACCTTGATCTTGCAAATATTGTGGAAGACCTAGAAGAAAAACTTGGAAATAAAACCCCCACTCTCCCAGTCCTCCCAAGTGGGAGCAGCCTCAGAATTTTGCCTCTCAAAGAGACCTTTGACCAACTAGTCTAGTCTTTTTATGTGCCTCTGCTGGAATGAACCTGTATGGGGGAGCTCATGTGTCAGGACACTGACATTGACACTGACTGCTAAGTGATCACTGTGTTACAGGCACTGCTTTAGGTGCTTGGGATGTAACGCTGAGTAACTATTAATCCCAAAACAGACAGTGATTTACTGATTATCCCCTTTCCACAGAGGTAGTGGGAAGATCTCCCTGTAAAGCGCTTCTTACTGAGCAGAAGTCACTGGACAAATATAGAGTCAGAACAAGGTGAATTACAAATCCTGAAAGGATATCTCTTCTAAGATTGGAAAGTTTTACACTGCCCTTTTCCATACAGGGTTCTTCTATCTGGAGTAGGACTAGCTAATAATAATAAACTAATAAGTAATTAATGAACCAATAATTAACTAATACTAATCTCTTAATCTGGATATTTTACTCTCAATTTGCACACTCCCCAGAATCAGAATCATACTCTGACAGCAACGAGAACTTGTATTATGGCCACTGTATGTGGTTGGGCAGGTTGTTCACTGCACCAGGGCTCTCTGTTGAAGGCGTAAGTGGCGTCTGGAGTCCTGCCCACGTCTGCTCATCAAGCCGTGTGCGGTTGCAGCCACCCCAAGGAAGAGCTTCCTTGACTCTTTCATGTAAAGCAGCCCTAGTGAATGTTTAAGTGGCCAGATACTGTTCCACATGTTTTATGGAGAGTCACTTAGACTGACTAACCTTCCTATGTATTATTATAATTATATTACTATATTATACATAATTATATTATATGAATATATTATCTATATATCTATACAACATATAATTATAATGTATTATAATTATATGATTATAATAATTATTGTTATTATTATAACCATCCCTAATTTATAGATCAGACCTTGGGACTAAGTAGTAACAAGTTGGAGGTGCCAGGATTCAAATACTGGGGGTCTGATTCCAGAGCCTACACCCTTCCCAACCCTGTTCTCATCTCCTTCAAGCAGATCCTCTGGCTTCAGAGTCCTCTCCCTGTTTCTATGTCAGTCTTTTATCCCTAGCTCTCAAGCTCTCATTTCTCTTTGCATGAGACCTCAGACTCCCATCTGTTTATTTTTTTCTTTAGAAGCAGCAGAGACAAGATCTAGAAGACTGGCTTCTTTGTGAGAGCTGGATTCAGGTTCCGCCCCTGTCCCTTGACCTCACCAAGCCTCGGCTTCCTCATCTGTTACGTGGGAACAACAGTCATCATCGTCATCATTTATTGAGAACTTGGTAAAATGCCAGGTACAATGCCAAGGGCATTTAGCTCATTCGTCCACCACAGTAACTCTAGGACTGACATTCTTTTTTTTGTGTGTCTCCGCGTTACAGTTGAGAGGCACAGAGGTGGAGGTGATCAGACTGGAGTCACACGGCCAGTACACCCCTAGCTTCTTCACAGGTGTGTGGGAGGTACCTTAGTGGAACAATGCGCGCCAAGTGCTTCTCAAGGTCCCTAACACATACTTGGTGCTTATGTATTGCCGTTTTTGTTGTTTTCATCATTACTATGATTAGCTTGTTCATTTAAGTGGCATGTTGACTAACTTACTGTTAAATCACAGGATTCTATTCATTTTTCTTCATCTCCATAATAGTATTTTTAAGGCCCTACTGTTAACAAAGTCAAATTGTCAAGGTCTGGGGCTACCCTGATGGCGCAGTGGTTGAGAGTCCGCCTGCCAATGCAGGGGACACGGGTTCGTGCCCCAGTCTGGGAAGATCCCATCCGTGGCTGGGCCCGTGAGCCATGGCCGCTGAGCCTGCACGTACGGAGCCTGTGCTTCGCAACTGGAGAGGCCACAACAGGGAGAGGCCTGTGTACCGCAAAAAAAAAAAAAATTGTCAAGGTCTTACATCTTTGAAAAAGCTGTCATCCACAATATCAGATTCATAGAGAAAGTAGAATAGTGGTTACTCGGGACCAAGAGGAAGGGGAATGGAGAGTTAGTGTTTAATAGGTACAGAGTTTCAGTTTGGGATGGTGAAAAAGTTGTGGAGATGGTTAGTGGTGATGATTCACAACAATATGAACGCACCTAATGAACTCTACACCTAAAAAATGGTTAAAATGGAAAATGTTATGTGATGTGTATTTTACACAGGAAAAAAAAATCAATGTAATCTTAAATATTACTGCAAAGGCATCAAATTAAATATGACAAGCCAAGAGAGAATAACAGATATTGCAGAGGTTAAAGGTGATTTTCATACAACAAAGCAACAGCCTTTTAAGGCTCCATTAAAGCTATTGATGAGGACAGGTTTTATCTTACTGAATATTACTGCTTTCTGCTGCTACTGAGAAATAAGGTGCCCTGAAAGTGTTCTTTGAACTTTCTGCCTACTTATTTAATTCTTACAACAATCCTATGAGATAGCCATTGTTAATCCCTCTATTTTTACAGATGGAGGAATTGAAGCACAGAGATAATAATAATTTGTCTAAGATTTCACAACTAATACGTCACAGTTTCATGAACCTAGACATTTGGCCCCAGAAATTACTCTCTTAACCTGGGTACTTTACTCTCAATTTCCGCCCTCCCCAGAATCAGAATCATACCCTGAGAGCTACACGAACTTGTATGAGGGCCTGTGTGTGGTTGGGTGGCTCGTTCACTGCCCAGGGGCTCTTGGCTGAAGGGGTGAGTAGCATCTGGAATTCAGCCCAGGCTTTGCTCATCAGGCCACCCTGAGGAAGCGGCAGTGTTGCTGCTTCACAGTAAGCAGCCATATGGGTCAGTGACACCCTTGGCCAGACTCTGACAGCTTTTTTCTCCTTCCCCCATTGTGCCTGCCCAAGACTCAGCACTTCCCCAGAAGGAGGAGGACAAAATGACCAAGCTCAAGGTGAGTTGGGCTTGCCCTTCTAGGTGTTAACTTGTCACCTCATTTCTCAGTGATAAGACACATCCTATTTCTCTTTCTTGGGAAAGATTAAAGAGAACAGTAGACATTTGGAAAACTCTTCCCAAGAAGAGGGCCGAATGATCCCTACTTTTTATTTTTGTTTGATTTATTTTTGTTGTTTTATCACCTTTGTAATTTCACAAATAAGAGTAGAACAGAAAAAGTCAGTCGCAACTAAAAAAATCTCTCACGTTATTACTGTTTCCCTTACAAAACAACTGTCTTCATTTTCCCATGTTCTTTTCCTCATATGTGTTCATAACTGTATATTTGTAATTCCTGTAGCATAAACTTCTCAAATTATACCTTTTCTAATTGATATTATATATCCCACATCTTTAATGGCAACATCATATTCCCTTGAATTTGTGTGCATTGTGTGTGTGTGGTGGGGTGTGTGTGTCTCATAACTTTTCCCCATTCATGGACATTTAGGTAGTTTAGAATTTTTACCGTTTTAAAGAACACTGTAGGGATTTCCCTGGTGGCACAGTGGTAAAGAATCCACCTGCCAGTGCAGGGGACACAGGTTCGATCCCTGGTCTGGGAAGATCCCACATGCCGCGGAGCAACTAAGCCCATGCACTGCAACTACTGAGCCTGTGCTCTAGAGCCTGTGAGCCTCAACTGCTGAGCCTGCATACCACAACTACTGAACCCCGTGTGCCTAGAGTCTGTGCTCCGCAATAAGAAGCCATCGCAGTGAGAAGCCCGTGCACCGCAACAAAGAGTAGTCCCTGCTCGCCGCAACTAGAGAAAGCCTGCATGCAGCAACGAAGACCCAACACAGCCAAAAATAAATAAATAAAAATAAAATTTAAAAAGGAAACAAAACATTGTAATAACAGTTTTCCTAATACAACCAATTTCCTCAAAAGGGAATTTGGAAGAATTTGCTATTCTTTGGTCTTAATGTTCTAGATACTCTAAATTGACAAAGTACATTTGCTATGCAGTACCTCAGGTATTTTGTATGTAGAATATTCCAGAATGGCAGAGTGCACCAGGATCTAACTAATGCTTCACACAGAGAAAATATTATTAGATATTTTCATGTAAGAAAGCTAGATTGTTTCTTACCCATGTCTGAATCATATCATGTGCATGTTTTATTTATTGATTTATATTTTTTATTCACATATTAATGAATTTTTTCAAAGTACTAATGTACTTAATTTTAAAAGTACAAAAAGACCTGTACAGAGACTTTTCATTTCTTAACTGCATTTAGTCTCAGACCAACCTTATGAGGCCAAACTTGGTCTTCTCTGCATTTTAATGACAAAGAAACAGGATTGTAGAATTTCAGAAAACTGTTCAAGTTCATATAGGAAACCAAAGATCCAACTGATCCAAAAAAGACTCCTAGGATTTTTACTTGGATAAAGAGAGTGAGACAAGGGAAAAGAATTCTCCACCTGGGACTTAGCCTATTCTGTGGGGTGCCTAGTTGTCCTGGTGGGTGGAAGACTCCATAGATGATACTGTCCCTACCGTAGATCACTCTCGGTGGCCCCTTCTTCTCCATGACCTCTGTTGCTCATATAAGACACTGGATGTGCAGGGCTCTGGCACTGAACACAGTCTTTGTACGAAAAATTAAAACAATGCTGTATACAAGTGGTTCTTAATTATGGGCGATCTTACCCTCAGGTAACATCTGGAAACATTTTTAGTGTTACAGCTTGGGAGTGCTACTGATATCTAGTGTGTAGAAGCCAGGGATGCTGCTAAACATCCTACAGTGAACTCAGCAGCCCCCTGCCCCACCCCCAACAAAGAGTCATCTGTCCTCAAATGTCAGGAGTGCCAAGGGTGAGAAAGCATGCTGTACCCAAAGCTGTATAAGAACAATAGAAGAATGTGGGTAAAAATATTTATAATACACACCCTAAAAAAAAAAAAAAGCTTAAAATCTCTAATAGGAATTTTACAGAGTCCTAAGATAAAACCCCAATTGGAGTATGAGCAAAGAACATTAACAGGCAAGGTTCTGAAAAAAAAAATGAAGATAGCTAGTAAATATGTGAAAATATGATGAGCTTATTAATTATCAAATAAGTACAGATAATCCAAATAAGTTGTTTTTTACTGATAAAATTGCCTAGGATTTAAAAATATGGTTATATTCAATGTGTATGGTTTAGAGAATCAGGGATACTTATATGCTCTTGGAGGAGGATAAGATAGTGGAAAAGTTGAAAAGAAAATCTGCTGTTGTGCATAATTATTTTGAAGCTGCCTATTCTTTGACATTGCAGTTTTCACTCCTTAGAACTTATCCTAAGAAAATAATTGGATGGGAAGCAAAAATCTATGTAAAAAGTTGTTCTTCTCCACATTTATTGTGAAAAGAAGAAAATCTAAAACATAAATGCGTTATGGGGAATGTTTATGTTACGGTAAAATAGACTCTGGTCTCTCAGAATCTGGAACCACTTCATACACATCGTCCCCACTTTCCTCAGTGCTGCCCTTTCACCAGGGAACCTGCATTGCAAGGTTCAGGTGGAGTGTGTTTGATGTCTTAGGAGGCGGTGACCTTCAAGGACGTGGCTGTGGTCTTCACGGAGGAGGAGCTGGGGCTGCTGGACTCTGCCCAGAAGAAGCTGTACCAGGAAGTGATGCTGGAGAACTTCCAGAACCTGGTCTCAGTGGGTGAGGAAGGGCACTCTGGGACTGAACATTGCATCAGCCCCTGTGGTATTTATTTACATGCCCTTGAAATGGCAGGGCTTTGGAGCTCTTGAACTGGTTTCCGGTTTTCTAATCAGCATGAGACTCAGAGATGGAGTTTTCTAGTCTTTCTCCCCAGGCCAAAGTGTGTTTGTAAACGAACTGTTAATTGACCACATGACTGCTGTATGTTTTCTGGCTTTTCAAATTGTGGTCGTCTCCAATTAGTAGGTCATGACACTCTTTAGGGAATCAAAATAAAATAGGATAGAAGATACCAGAGCCCTTGGCAATAACTGCACGTTGCAGTAAAAACCGTGGCCTGTTGCCAAGAATAGTGTGAGAAATGGTGAAAAGGGTGCGATGAAAATAATGTTTTCCCATAATTTATGCTTATGTCTACCTATCCTCGGTTTTTGCATAAAATGTATTTTCTCCCATGGGTCATAATTAAAAGTTTGGAAAACACTGATTTTGATGTCCTGAAGACAGTGCAGTGGGAACCACAATTTCTCTTAATTTGGGCATCTAACATATTGATTTTAAATGTTTTTCCTTGCCTTTTTTGCAGGGCATCAATCATTCACACCAGATGTAATATCCCAGTTAAAGAGAGAAGAAAATCTTTGGATGATAAAGATAGCAACCCAGAGCTGTCGCTCCTTGGGTGAGAGCCGTGTGACCCTGAGTCTGTCCTGCTTCTTGTTGCCTCCACAGCTGTGACTCTGGTCCAAGTCAGCACCTAGACTGTGGATTACTGTCTCGGTCTTTGTAATGCTCTCTCTTCTGCTTTGCTCATTCACAGTTAATTCTCCACTCAGAGTGACTCTTTTAAATTCAAATCTTGTTATTTCTCTGCTCAGAACCTCTGGTAGCTTCTTACTGATTCAGAATAAAATCCCATCATTGAAAGTGGCTTATGATATCCCATGTGCCCACCAGTTTTTGCCATATATTTTTTTTTTTGGCCACACTGTGTGGCTTGTGAGATCTTAGTTCCCCGATCAGGGCTCGAGCCTGGGCCCTTGGCGGTGAGAGTGTGGTGTCGTAACCACTGGACCGCCAGGGAATTCCTTGATTTTGTGATCATCATGATTTTCTCATCAGCAACATCCACGTAGGTTAGCCCGGCATCTAGTGAAGGCTTTCAGCTTCCCAACAACATGGCTGTTTCCACTTTCTTTCCTATTATGGGTAACTTACTTGAAAAACCTCTTTTACTTTTGTAACATGGCTCTAACTCTCACAGAGATGTCAAACTGGGATTTATTTATCCATTCAACATGTACTTATTGAACACTGACTGTATCAGACAGGGTTCTGGGAGTGGTGATAAACCAGTGAATAATACAAAATGCTTGTCCTCATGGGTATCGCATTCAAGTGGGTGATGACATAAAATGAAAAAGATCAAGGATGTGTGTAGTATGTCAGATAGGAATATATGCTGTGTAAAAACAAAACAGGGTAAGGCAAATGGAGATTGCCAGGCGCGTAGAATGGATAGGGAGAATTTACTATATGATATTGTATGGTAAAAGGGGCCTCACAGGGGCTTCCCTGGTGGCGCAGTGGTTGAGAGTCTGCCTGCCAATGCAGGGGACACAGGTTCGTGCCCTGGTCCAGGAAGATCCCACATGCTGCGGAGCAGCTGGGCCTGTGAGCCATGGCCGCTGAGCCTGCGCATCTGGAGCCTGTGCTCCACAACAGGAGAGGCCACAACAGTGAGAGGCCCGTGTATCGAAAAAAAAAAAAAAAAGAGGCCTCACAGATAAGGTGTTATTTGAAAAGACACCTGAAAAGAAGTTAGTAGCAAGTTATATGGCTAATCGGTGGAATAGAGTTCCAAGGAGAACGTAACACTTCCGGTCCAGTGTTGATTTCGAGACTCTGTATTATGCCCTAATTATTTCCTCCTCGTGAGTTCTTGCTCTATTGTAAAAGATAACCTTCTAATTTTTCACTCTTTTTCTTTTTACCCCTGGTGGTTGTAGGAACTTTACTGTTATGAGGTTTTAGAATAATGTATGTTATTACAGTAACATACTAATTCCAAAACTTGGCTTTGATTTTTTTTCCAGCTAACCCTTTCAGTGTTGAGAAGACCTGGCTCTGTGGCCAGGGAAAGTAAAGTTTACAGCCCATTTGTAAGGATATTTCCCAGGAGGAGGCAAAGAACCACTCTCTGCTTATACTCTGAACTTTAGGGCCTTAGGTGATAAGGTATTTCTCCCAGACATGTATCTTTCCAACTTATTTATTGCCTCAAAGTCTCCTTCCATTGGAGTAAACTTCCATTAAAATAAAGCCGAGGTTTTTCAGCATTGCCTGGGGACATCCTCTGATAATCTGTCTAAGGGTCTTACTAGACATTTTGAGCATTTTGTTCAGATGTGCATGTAGCAGGCAGAATTATGTGGAAGCTGTTTATTAGCCACCTGCTACAGCAAAGAAGATAAGGCTTTGAGTAAGGTACAGCTTTGTCTTTGTAAACATTCCCTAGGAGGTATTTTTCTTGCTCTGTAGCCATCATATTTCCAATTTATATCTCACCTATGAAACTTACTATGATTCTAAATGGATTCCACTAATGTGTAGTGAATGACAGCCTGGTGGGCCACCTCTTGGTGTCTGGAGGTATGTAAATCAGAGAACATGATACATGATGTTAAAGAAAAACAGAAGCTTTTTGAGGTTCAGTAAAGCCTTAGGGTGTGGGCCTAAGTTTATAACCTTGACATCTCTGAGCAAAGCATTCACATGCCCCATCTCTAAATTCTCTTTATCCATTTAGGAGACAAGAATCTAAATGGCATGGAGACTCTTCAGGAAGTTGGATTAAGGTATCTGCCACATGAAGAGCTTTTCTGCTCACAAATATGGCAACAGGTTACAAAGGAATTAACCGGGTGTCAAGATTCCATGGGATATATTCAAGGAACTGGCTCTCAGATGGAAAAACAAGGTGGCACACTCAATAAAGATGAGGAGTTTGGTAAAGACTTCAGTCAGACTTCACATCTTCAAGTTCACCACAGAGACCACACTGGAGAAAAACCCTACAAAGGGGTGGAGTGTGAGAAAGGTTTCATACGGGACTCTCACCTTCAAATGAACCAGACAGCCCACGTAGGAGAGAAGCCCTACAAGTGTGAAAAATGTGAAAATGCCTTCCGTCGGCTTTCAAGTCTTCAAGCCCATCAGAGAGTCCACAGTAGAACAAGATTGAACAAATATGATATGTCGTGTAAGAGTTTCAGTCAGAGGTCATATCTTCGTCATCATCAGAGGGTCCCCACTGGAGAGGATCCACACAGATTTGAGGAGTGTGGGAGGAACGTCGGGAAAAGCTCACATTCTCAAGCTCCTCCCATAGCCCACATGTTGGAGAAACCCTATAAATGTGAGGAGTGTGGACTGGGCTTCAGTCAGCGCTCCTATCTTCACATCCATCAGAGAGCCCACATAGGAAAGAAACCTTATAAATGTGAAGAGTGTGGGAAGGGCTTCAGTTGGCGTTCACGCCTACAGGCTCATCAGCGAATCCACACTGGGGAGAAACCCTACAAATGTGAGGCATGTGGCAAGGGCTTTAGTTACAGCTCACACCTGAACATCCACTGTAGAATCCACACAGGCGAGAAACCCTTTAAGTGTGAGGAGTGTGGGAAAGGCTTCAGTGTGGGTTCCCACCTCCAAGCCCATCAGATAAGCCACACGGGAGAGAAACCATACAAATGTGAGGAGTGTGGCAAGGGCTTCTGTCGGGCCTCAAATCTTCTGGACCATCAGAGAGGCCACAGTGGTGAGAAACCATATCAGTGCGATGCATGTGGAAAGGGCTTTAGTCGTAGCTCAGATTTTAACATTCATTTTAGAGTCCATACAGGAGAAAAACCCTATAAGTGCGAGGAGTGTGGGAAAGGTTTCAGTCAGGCCTCAAATCTTCTGGCCCATCAAAGAGGCCACACTGGAGAAAAACCATACAAATGTGGTACATGTGGGAAGGGCTTCAGCCGGAGTTCAGATCTTAACGTTCATTGTCGAATCCACACAGGAGAGAAACCCTATAAATGTGAGAAGTGCGGGAAGGCCTTCAGTCAGTTCTCAAGCCTTCAAGTGCATCAAAGAGTCCATACCGGAGAGAAACCATACCAGTGTGCAGAGTGTGGGAAAGGCTTCAGTGTGGGCTCACAGCTTCAGGCCCATCAGAGGTGTCACACTGGAGAAAAACCCTACCAGTGTGAGGAGTGTGGGAAGGGCTTCTGTCGGGCCTCAAATTTTCTGGCTCACCGTGGAGTCCACACAGGAGAGAAACCATACCGATGCGATGTGTGCAGTAAGCGCTTCAGACAGAGATCATACCTTCAAGCCCACCAGAGGGTGCACACTGGAGAGAAACCATATAAGTGTGAGGAATGTGGTAAGGTCTTCAGTTGGAGCTCATACCTTCAAGCCCATCAGAGAGTCCACACTGGGGAAAAACCATACAAATGTGAGGAGTGTGGGAAAGGCTTCAGTTGGAGCTCAAGTCTTATAATTCATCAGCGAGTCCATGCTGGGGATGAGGGTGACAAGGACTGTCCCTCATCAGAGAATACGTACAGCAAAGAAGCTCTATAAAATTACATGGTTTAATACCTCAAATGGGTGCTGAAATAGTCCTGCCATAGAAGACAAAACATCTGTTTGATAAAAGAGTATTTCTGCCAGAGCTCGACATGTCTGTGTGGTTGGGCGACCACACGGCAGAGAAGCCTCATAAGCCTGGAGACATAAGAACTTCATTCAGAGCCTTGACATTTAGCAGATATGACAGAGAAGAGAGGCTTAAGAAGGATGAGTCTGAGCTGAAGGTAACCAAAAGTACTAAGACGGAAATGCCCAAATCTCTTCCACCAGAATAGAAGCTCTTGGAGGGCTGGGACTTTGTTGACGGCCAAGTCCACTCTGCCTCTTCAATGCCGAACACACTGCAGGTGTCCAGTAATGTTAAATGAGTAAAAGGGAGAACAGTCACTTTTGAAATTTTCTTTCAGTTCCTCTCTAAAAATTTCTATAAAATTGTAAAAGGAGGAATTCTCCAAGGCTTGGAGGACTAAATAAGACACTTGGGCTCATTTCCCCAACCCTGCAGGTCCTGTGAACTAGTGCTTATCAAGCTCAAGGTTTTAACCCATTAGTGGGTCCAGAAGTCAGTTCACCAGGTTGTGGCCAGCACTCTTCTATGCTAACAGTTCTTTATGGAGATGTGATTCGCATGCAGCCACATGCATAAATAAGTTTACAGCTTCATGAATTTTGACAAATGTATCTACTTGTGTAATCATCACCAAGATCAATATATACCATATTTATATTAAACCAGAATGTTTCCTTGTGTACTATTCTTGTCATTCCCACCTCCAGGGGCAACAAGTATTACGATTTCTATACCATGTATTAATTAGGCCTGTCTGTTCTTGAGCTTCCTGTGTGTTTGGTATGTACTCTTTATGTCTGGATTCTTTTCATAAAATATATGATCATCCTAGGTTCACAGAAGGCAATTGACAGAACTCAGTATCCATGATAAAAATTCTTCAGTGAGATAAGAGGCATCTATGAAGATCCTATATGCTCATGTTCTTCTTTTATTATTAAGGAATAATTTATATACAGTAAAATCGACTGGTGGATCATTCTGTGTTTTGGCAAATGCTTACTATCATATTACATCACCACAATCAAGATATTTAACAGTTCCACCAGCCCCGACTTTCTACTCTTTTTTATTTCATAACCTTATTTTATTTATTTAATTTTTGCTGTATTGGGTCTTCATTGCAGTGCGCGGGCTTCTCATTGCAGTGGTGTCTCTTGTTGCGGAGCATAGGCTCTAGTTATGTGGGCTTCAGTAGCTGTGGCTTGCGGGCTCACTAGTTGTGGCTCGTGGGCTCTAAGAGTTCGCAT